TCCTCCTCCTCCTCCTCCTCCTCCTCCTCCTCCTCCTTCTTCTTCTTTTTCTTAATCCCAGAGCACTGCTTAGGGTCTTTTATGTTGTTTATTTGCTGTGGATACCATCTGCAATGATAATCAATTCTCCTTTTTTTTTAATTTTATTTTTTTCTTATCAGTTACATTTTATTAACTCTGTATCCCAGCCGTGTCCCGCTCCCTCATTCCCTCCCAATCCTACCCTCCCTCCCTCATCTCCACCATGCCCCTTTCCAGGTCCACTGATAGGGGGGACCTCCTCCCCATTCATCCAATCCTGTTTTATCAGGTATCTTCAGGACTGGCTGTGAAGCCCTCCTCTGTGGCCTAACAGGACTGCTCCTCCCTTGGGGGGTGGGGAGGTCAAAGAGCCAGTCATTGAGTTCCTGTCAGAAATAGTCCTTGTTCCCCTCACTATGGGAAACCAATTGGTTACTGAGCTACCACAGGCTACATCTGAGCAGAGGTTCTAGGTTATATCCATACATGGTCCTTGGTTGAATGTCCAATTGTCCTTTTTAATTACCCCACCTACAGATGCAGATATCTAAGTAAATCAGACTCCTCAGTTCTATGAAGCAGCTCCTGTATGGGCCCTAGTGTTTGATTTGAGTACCCATTCATTCATTTGCGTATTCATTCACTCTTTAATTTCTTCCTGTCCTTCATCTCTGTACTCATAAGGAATGCAGAAGCCAGGCATAGTGTTGCCTACCTATAGTCTATCCCTATACAGGAGGTTGATGGGGAGGATCTCAGAAGCCTACAAGCTGGAGAACAGCTTTGGCAACACAGTGATGTTACAACTCACAACAATAAAGAAAGAAAAAGAAAAGAAGGAACACAGAACACTCTTCCAGGGAGCAGTCATCCGTATCTTTGTACTTCTGTGACAGGAACCAGGCTCACAGTGGTGTCCATTCTGCAGTGGGCCCAGGCCCAGGCTCAGGGGTGGGGAGGAGTAAATAACAGGTGAGGCCTTGCCCTCCAAAACACCACAAGCTCTCTGACAGGGCTATAAGGTCTATACATGGTTCTTTTTGTTGTTGTTGTTTTGAATATTTATTTTATTTTTTAATCATTTTTAAAAATTTATTTATTTTTTATATTAATCACAGGTTATTTACTTTGTATCCCGCTCCCTCATTCCCTCCCAATCCCACCCTCCCTCCCTCATCTCCTCCCTGCCCCTTTCCAAGTCCACTAACAGGGGAGGACCTCCTCCCCCTCCATCTGACCCTAGCTTATCAAGTCTCTTCAGGACTGGCTGCAATGTCCTCTTTTGTGGCCTAGCAAGGCTGCTCCTCCCTCGTGAGGGTGGGTGGTGGAAGAGCTCATTGTTGAGTTCATGTCAGAAATAGTTCCTGTTCCCCTTATTAGAGAACCCATTTGGACACTGTGCTACCATGGGCTATATCTGAGCAGGGGTTCTAGATTACATCCATACATGGATCTAATGGGAGAGTTTCAGGTACTATTCTCAGTAAATGACAGATCCACAGAGTAAAAAATCACAAAAGACATAAAAAAGTTAGAACTTATTAAAAAAAATTGATTTTGTGTTATACAAAACATCAACCAAGTTCAGGACATGTGCTTTTTTTTTGAACCTGTGAATAATTTATCAAAAATGAGTATATTCTGGTCCATAATCTACATCTTCATGAACTTCAGAGAATGGGTTGTATTCTCTGGACACACTGAATTTTATCTAGAAATTAAGGAGGGAAACACTTGAACATCTAGTTACATATCTCTAAGTGATACACAGGCTAGTAGAGTGAGCCCAGATAGGACTGGATTTATATATATAATATACATAATTAAATTCAATATATATAATTAAAGCACTGTTACTTCTTTAAAAATATTTTATTTTTGATTATTTTAATTATGTATATGTGTGTGTTTGTCTGTGTGTGCATGCATGTGTGTGTGTGTGTGTGTGTGTGTGTGTGTGTGTGTTTGTGGGTATGTGCATACGAATACAGCTGCCTGCAAAGGTACCTGACATAGGTGCTGGGAACCAAACCCAACATATTGTGTACATGTGGGAGTGTGCAAGCCAGAGAAGAGGCAAGACAGCAGAAGATTACATTGGATTCTATTTCAAGATTGTGATCCTCCAAAATTCTTGGTTAAATCTGGAAAAACTACAGGGTAGGGGTAGGGAATTGTAACAAAGACAGATAAAAGAAAAACAGAAAACAGAGGTAGATAGGAATGGTTAAGAAGTTCAATGGTCAGTTCTTCAGGAGGGACAATACAGTTGCTAACATTTGGTTAGCTAAATCTAGATTTGGAGAAAATCGTCAGTTCACAAGCTTCAATGAGAAGGGGCCTCCATACAGATCTGGAGACCTCAGAGAGATGATAGTGAGATTTTTTTTTGGGGGGGGGGCGCCCTTGCAATCATTATCTGTCCTGGCTGGTTTTCTGTTTTTTCTTTTCCCTTCCCTTCCCTTCCCTTCCCTTCCCTTCCCTTCCCTTCCCTTCCCTTCCCTTCCCTTCCCTTCCCTT